TGCGCTCTCCGACTCTTTGGACCTCGCTCGTGTGTCCCATGCGGTATGTGTGCAGGCTGCCCCGGGCCCCGGGTCCCCCTGGGCCGGGCGGCCGCGGCGGGGCCGGTGGACCGTGTAATCACCTGGCCGAGCGTTGCCATGCGCTGCGGCGGCGCCATGATGTGCCATGACCCACAGGGCCCTGTTGTGGGGCCGCCCGTGTGTGTGTGTGTGTGTCTTTGTGTTTGAGCAGGTGTTTGGCTCGACATTCAAACAACATCGACCCGCGCGCCGTGCGTCGTGCGCGTGCTGTTGCTGTTCCGGCAATTAGTGATCCCCCCATCCCATAGTCACACACCTTCCCATAGTGCGTCGTTGTAATGATCCCGCCCGCTATGCTCCGCCCGCAGGCTGGCCGCGCTCGCCCTGCTGGTGCTGCTGCCGGCGCTGGCCGCCGCCGCATACCAGAAGTGCCCCCGGGACTGCGTGTGCGACCTGGACCGCCGCGGCCGGCGCTCCGTGCACTGCAACAAGGGCGGCGGCAAGGACCCCATGCCCATGCCCAGGATACAGGAGAAGATCGAGGTGCTGGAGGTGGCGCCGCCGCCGGACCAGCCCAACTACTACACCATCGGGCCCATCTTCCACGGCCACCGCCAGGTAAACGACTTGTTTTTACTCGAATTTTACCTAAGCAACTCCAGATAAAAACTCGTATCGACTTTTACTTGATGGGTGACTTGCGGTTTTATTTCAACAGAGCAAGGAATGGGGAGGGGTGGCGGGGGTAACTCACCTCACCTGGTGGGCAACGTTATTCGATATCGGTCCGGTTCAAATGCCATGAGGTAGACCTTTAATTTTTGCCTTCTCGTGTTGTTTCTAACCTGCTTCGATTGTCACTCCGCAGCTCGAGGAGATCCACATCGTGCACTCGCACATCCCGTCCATCGGCCAGAACTCGTTCTACGGCCTCAACAACCTCCTGATCCTGAACCTGACGCACAACAACCTGTCTGCCGTGCTGGAGAACAACTTCGTGGGTCTGACTAGCGTGCGCGAGCTGTACCTCAGCCACAACCGCATCGAGAGCATGCCCAGCAGCGTGTTCCACCGCCTGGGCGACCTCAAGGTGCTGAGCCTCGCCAAGAACCGCATCAAGGAGCTGTCCAAGAGGATCTTCATGAACCTCACCAAGCTCCACGACCTCGATCTGAGCTACAACCCGCTGCCCGAGCTCAACTACGAGGTGTTCAGCGACGTCAGGGTGAGTCTGCCGTCTATTCGCCTCGGTCTGCGCACGCCTCTTCCGGGACTCGATGTCTGAACATCTCCATCATTTGTCACACAGGAGCTGCAGGTGCTAAAGTGTCGGGGCTGCGGCGTGGCCGCCGTCAACCGGAGCCTGTTCGAGCAACTGACGGAGCTGCAGGTGCTGGACCTGGCCGACAACAAGATCTCCTCCATCACGGCCGATGAGCTGCGGCCGCTCCAAGCTCTGAGGGAGCTGTGGCTGGACGGCAACCGGCTGACCGTCGTGGCCTCGGGGATGTTCAGGCACAACCCGCAACTGCAGATCATCGACCTCTCTAGGAACGAGATAGTCAAGGTGAGTGCTAGAAACTAGCAGGCGTTGAGCTGGCAATGAAGGGGTGGAGGGGGGGGGTGAGACTGCTGAACAATAAACTTCACGCAATAGTTTAAAACCTTCAAGTTTTGTGAAGAATTAAAATATTCAGTTTAACAAAATAACAAAATGTCAAGGTATTTTCCAAATTTGTGTCAAAACATTTTCGAACCTCGATGCGATAAACGTGAATGTCCCGGTCATGCGTGCTCTGCTCGCCCGCCTGACCTCATACAGGACCAAGACCAGGATATTGACACGCTAGTTTGGGCTGCTGAAAGCCCGCCAGCATGTCGCCCCGACCGGCGGCGAGCTCGTCACGGCGCGTCGTCGCGGGATATGTTTTGTGTAGCGTGTAAACTCAGGGTGACAGGCGGGGCGGGGCGGGCCGGGCGGGGTATATAAGGGCCTGCTGGAGGCGCGATGCGGGTGTGGAGAGGCAAGCGTGGGCCCACAGGTCTCTGTCCCGTCCCGCCGGCCGCGGCCCGGAGGGACGGCGTTGCTCCTAGTGGTGGTGGAGCAGTGATACGTTCCACTACTAGACGTCATGTTGTATCCCCGTGGGAGATTTCGCGCGCTCTGCGCTCTGCGCTGACAAGCTCAAAGCCCCAAATTTGCCCAGACTCGCTGCACAGCAGTCGACCAAAGAGACTGGCTGAAAGCTGAAAAGCCCCCCGTCGTCGTCGTCTCGGTGCTGCTCGGGCTCGCCGCCCTCGAGGAAGGCCGCCGGCGGCGGCGGCGGCGGCGGCGGAGGGAAGTGGAGAGGAGCCCGGGATGGCTTCGACGGCCATCGACACACCGAAATGAGGAAGAGCTCGCGCCGTCCCGGACAACAATGTCCTGATCCCTTAGCGCCCTTCCTGGGGCTGCCCTCTGCCCTGCCTGCGGTAAAGTCCCTCCAGAGCCCGGAGAGCTCGTCACTCCCCTACTACCCCCTCTCTCTCTCTCTCTTCCTGACGCCCATCGGCAGAAAATGACAATGAGAGGGAGTGAGAAAGGGACGGGGAGGGCAAGGGCTGGACGGGCCTGCGGTCGAGGGAAATGGCTCTCATCGGTAAAAGGGCGCGCGCCGCCCCCCTCTCCCTCTCTCCCCCTCTCCCTTTCCATCGGCTAGGATCGCACACAATTACGTGAGAGTTAGGAGGGGCAATGAAAGTACCCCGGCGGCGAGTCGAGTCCACCACCCCCGTCTCCTTTTGGTAAAGAGAGAGAGAGAGAGAGAAAGGTGCAGAGAGGAGACAGAATGGAGAGTCTCCCTCCTTGTGCCCCCTGCCGCCCCACGCCGCCTGCGCACGGCTTGTCTCTCTTTTTTCCTGCTTCCATTTCTAGCGAATAGCCGAGGAGAAGGGCGGGAGAGAGGATTGCAAAGCGGGCGCGAGGAAGGCAGACGCGTCGACAAACACGGTTCTCAACTTTTACACCGTCCCGCCGGTATCGCGCGCAAATATTTAATTTTGGGATGTTTCCTGTAATGCCCTGAGCTTCTTTTTTTATTATTTCCCTCCCTTACGTAGTTTCCTCTCGTCGCCTCGGGAACTGGGCACAAAATGTAAAGTGTATTCCTAATGCGGCAGGACGCGGCCGTTTTGGTCCGGGAGCCTGCTGCCTTGAAGATTAATTAATTATTTCGTGCAGTTAGCTTCCAGTGGCGGCGAGTTGTGCGACGACGACGGCACTTGGGGAAAAAAGGAAACTACTCTACTCTTGTTTTGTGAATTAAAATGTTGTCTCGTCTTCATCCCTCTGCATCCTCCGCCCCGCCGTAAATTGAAATGTTTATTGCGGCTCATGGGGGTCAGTGCGTGTCGCGGGTCAGTGAGCAGCCGGCGGCCGCCTCCGGGCCTCGCGAGTCTCGGGCGCTTTTATTGTACCGCCAGGGGAAGTCCCCGGGGCGACAGGGCGGAAACTGCGCCTGGTTGTGACAACAGTGGAAACGGCTCCAATTGGGTCTAAAAATCCGCACCGATACCAGTGCAGGTTTTTAGTTTTGTCATAAACTTGGTCGACATTACACTGTGAAACGAAACATTTCTAAGAAACATGCTGTAACGCCTTTGGAGCTTTATTGCCTTTTAAATGTAGGATATCCTACCTTTGTTTTACCATTGTAAATATATCGTCATTTACAAGGACATTTTTCAACGAAGTGTAATAAATCCAGGGAAATTTTTGTTTCAACCGAGGATTTGCAGAGAATTCAAAACGAAAATTCAGTGGCATAGGCTCTGAGAAGGAAGGTTGTTTCGCGCCTCGCGTCGACTGGCGCGCCAAACGGAGCATGCTGTTTGCATGCCCCCGCGGGGGCGGGACGACGAAGCTAGCGGCTCGGCTCCGGGAGGCGGAAGAGGTCGACGGGAAGCATTGAGGAAACGAGTGACGCTGGCGTGGCGGGGCGTGGCGTGACGTATCACCATATCAACAACCCCGGGTCGGCGTCATCAACAGGGTCGTATGTGCGGTGCGTGGTGCACACGGTCTATGGGAGCGGAGCGCGGTCTAATGGCACGTCAATACACAGCGGGAGCGAGAGGAAGTGGCACGGCCGTGGCGGGGAGGGGGGGGGGAGAGAGAGGGGCAATTACAACACATATATGAGCAATATCGTTCCTTTACCGGCGGCGGGGTGAACGGACGTCGCATTACCTCGTCAAAATTCGTTTACGAGAAAAGTTCCCGCACCTAAAGGGAAGAAATGGAAAAAAAATTCACTTCGCTAATATACTTTTACCTGGGAACTATTAAAGGACTTTTGATGACGTTTTGAAAGAACTTTTCGATAACTTTTTGATGAAATTTAGAAAAACTTTAGATGAACTTCTGATGTAAATTTAATAAAATTATAATGAACTTTACTATGGACAAGACAGACTTCGTATTTGAATGAACTTGTATAAATGTTCAAAAAAGGGGTAATTGCGCGAGACGTCTTTTAATTTAACTATTCTGAATCCGTTTTTCCAGGTGGAGGACGAGGGCTTCCTGAACGTGCCGGCGCTGCGCCTGCTGGACCTGGGCTACAACCGCCTGGAGCGGCTGCACGCGTCCATCGTGTCGCCGCTGGGCGAGTCGCTGCGCGCGCTCTCGGTGGCCGGCAACCTGGTGTCGACGGAGGAGCTGGCGCGGCTGGTGCGCGGCGTGCCGCACCTCACGCGGCTCAGCCTGGCCGACATGCGGCTGCGCGCCGTGCCCGCCGGCCTGCTGTCGCCGCTCAAGGAGTTGCGCACGCTCAACGTGTCGGGCAACCTGCTCACGGCGCTGCACCCCTCCGCGCTGCACCCTCTCTTCAAGCTCGAGGTCGTGGACGCCTCCAGGAACCACCTCGTCGGCCTCGACGAGCAGAGCCTCCTCCGGCTGGACAACGTCGACCGGGTAAGTGTGTGTGTGTGGGGGGGGGGGGCACCGTACACGCAACTGCTCTGGCCAGGCGCCTGCTCGATCCGGAGTAGGCAACCCCGCCCTACACTGGCGCGTAACGGGACTGCCCAGCAGCCAGACGCTGGCCAAGCCCCTGCTGGAGCTGGAGTAGGCAACCCCGCCCTACACCCGCGCGTAACGGGACTGCCCAGCAGCAGCCAGGCGCTGGCCGGGCCCCTGCTGGAGCTGGGGTAGGCAACCCTGCCCTGCACCCGCGCGTAACGGGACTGCCCAGCAGCCAGGCGCT